GGAGGTTGGTGGCCCTGCATGGCAGGGGGATTCGAACTCGATCCTTGGGGTCTCTTTCAATCCAAGCCATTCTGTGATTCTATGACTTCCCTTTAATTGTACTGATTTCATTCCTGAGACATGAAGTTTTGCTGGTTTTCCTTTCAGTTACCCTTTGAAGTGTTAGAGATTGATCATAACTGAGGCCAAAGCCTGAGAAAGACAGACCGCTGCTCCGAGACAGTACAGAAAATCCTCCTAAGCTTCAGCCTGGTGCATCTTGTTCAAAGTCGAATGCCACCATGATTACTGTGCTTAAGTGTACAGGTCAGGCCAGGGTCAGATGGGAGCAATCTGATTTTGCTTTTCACTTTGTGCATTTTTCCTCTCTGTCCCTTCCATTTCAAGGTCAGGAATCAAAGTCTGACTGCTGGGATCACTGGGAATATCACGCTTTGTTCACTGGTGGCACATTAAGCTGCCCTGCTCCTTATGTGAGGCACATAAACCAGTGTGGAGACACAGTATTTTGGCCATATAAAAGTGCTTGGATTTCCTTGAAGGTATCTGAATGAAATTTTATGATCTGTAGCACATAGAAGCCAGATCAAATGATCTAATAGTCCCTCGTGCCCTTAATTTCTGCAAAGTTATGAAACTGTATTCCCAACATATCTTGGCAAATGTAGTCCACTAACTTAGCAGATTATGAACAGCGTGAAATCAGAGAACACCCTTTGCCAAAATACACTAGGAATGTTTTGTTATCTGTTCATACATAACTTGTTCCAGATGAGATAAACTCTTAATAGTGAGCTAGCTAGATAAACAATAGATTAAGCAGATATGCAAAAGAATGACAGACAGTAAGCTCACACTTTGCTAGGAAGCATTTTTTCCTTAGCGCAATCAATGTACTGTATTGCTAATAATTCTCTATGGAGTGCTATTCTGCAGTTGATTATGTCTTTGCAAGTGGGTGTAAAACACTACTGTTCAGATTTGTGTCTGCCTTTCACCAAGAGAGAAAACTTCATCACTTATCCCATGGACCACTGATTCATTTTTGCAGCCTGTGAAAACAATCTTCCCTCAAGAATTCCCATTACCAGTGGCTTCTGCCTACAAAACCCCAGCTTTTTAGGGCTGAACTTGCACATTCCTCAAACTATTTTCTCCTCACCACCCTTCTGCTGGCATCTCTTCCTTCACTCGCAAAAAGCAGAGTTAGAATTGACAATGTAGAGCCCTTGCTGCATCGCCTGGGCAGCATGACCAGGTGGGCTTCCACCAGCATGAGCTGAAAGACAACAAAACACCCACACAGAGAAGGCCTGGAGGCTTATTTTTTGGTACTGCTACAAAGAATTTTGCCGTATGCTAACACCAGGAGACATCCAGCATACTGCTTTCCCTCCGACTTGTTTCTTGAGATGGGGTCCTGCTTTTCCAAGAGACACCATATATTTGGAACCATCTGCAATTAGTGTCATATGTACAAACAGAGCCTGTACAATAGCTCAGTTGCAACACCCAATTTTTAAACATGTTTAAAGAACAAATATTATACACCGAATGCTAGTGTGGTCACCTTGCTTGAACTAACTTTTGATAGTTATTAGTGCTTAGCTACTTCTCTGACATTATCATCATGTATAAAATATCTCATTGGGGAAATTAAAAAGTACTAAATGGCAGTGACTGAAAGAAACTTTGTTACTTTAAACCTTGCATTAAAATGACAAGGCAATCAAAGTTTGACAAGACAAGCTAATTAGTATGCCAGCGATGAAATGTGAAGGATCTCCAGGGGATTGGTTCTCGAAAGTTTTATGTCATTTATAGGGACTTTTTAAAGCAAATGTTGTCAGCTCTTGTGGTGAAATACACAACAGTTGAATTTCATTATCTTGATAAATATTGAGGACTACATCCCTCCTCTGTTTTCCATTCCTCTTCTCTTTCTCCCTAAATACTTGTGCTTACAACTAGTGGTTGTTCTCCCCATGAATTAAATCCTAGTGGAAAACAGTGCTAGAGGTAATAATGGTGTAAATGTTGTAAGTGGAATTTTCAAAGACTTGTAAAAATATCCCCCCTTTCCTAGAGACCTCCTACTTCTACATATTGTATGACAAAGATATATTTCCTCTACAGTAACTTAAAAAGCAACTTAGGTTTTTCTACGAAAGCGTTAATATATTTTGAAGTGCTGCATACTGCATAGTGTACCAAATGCAGATAAACAATAAAAGGTGAATACACAAATGTGTGTGTTTTTTCAAACGTTTAACAATAACCTTGGACATTTCTATTTAAAGTGCTGCCTACTTATTACATTGCTCTGTAATTATATCACTTTTCTTTCCTCAGCACAGACTGAAGTTAATCAACTGTCACAGAATCAGAGTCTGCATCACATAAAAATACAAAATTCTCACCCTTAGGAAGGTGAACCATGCTAACTTTGCTAACGTGAAGCGACAGCTGTGACAGTATCTTCCCAAATGAAGAGCTCAGGCACACTCAAAGCTTGGAATATTAGGAAACAAACAATTAAAGTAATGTGCATTTAGCCTCAAAATGGTTTCACAAATATATATACCATAATGAGACCTCAAATCATCTGCTTTTTCTGGTTGTCAGAAGCATAAGAACAGTTTAACACCAAGGAGATTTCAAGAAATTCTCATTTCCAAATTTATCCAGATGACAAAATAGCAGTATTTTGGATTGGTGTGGAAGATGAAAATATCTGCCATAAGATTGCTCTTGGGCAGAGAGAGGAACTCAAGGATGGATGGAGCAAAGCAATCCTTGTCTGAGAGAGAGGGTCAGCTTGGGAGGGTGCTCCCCATGGACACAGAGGCCACATCACCAAGCAGCCTCTCCCAGTTGAAAGTATAAAGCAAGCTGAAGTGTTGCCACTGAGAAACGGAAAGAGGTGTGACTTTACCCAACTGCTGTGCTGAGCACCGTAGGTTCGGTCAGTGGAAGGGCAGAGTTTTATTCTACAGGGACTGTCATTATCCTGGTGAAAGTACTGTAACACTTAGCAAGTCTAAGGCTGTTTGCATTAAGCAGGCTCAGTGAGAAGGATGCACAGAAAGGCCTTGCCTTCCTTCCCCACAAGCACATCTGTGGTGTCCACCTTCCCTTCCCTTTTGCTTAAGCTCTGTCAGCTTTTCTCAGCAATTAGGAAGCAAGGCAAATGACTGTGATCTGTTTGAAGATGATCAGTCATATTTTAAGGCCCACGTGTGCAAGAGACTTTACAGTCAGAAGACATCATCTTAAACAATCTTTTTTCTTCCTCTCTTCCATTCTTTCTCCCTCTCACTCTTTCTTTCTTTCTCTCTTTTTTTTTCCATTCTTCCTTCCTTTCACAGAGGCAGAACTGCAAACCTAGGACATTTCAACTAGGATAACCCCAAGAACACAACACCCCACATACTGGAGAGCATGCTCATATGTTGATGGAAAAAGTCATTTTAACTGCAACAAAGCTGGCATTCTACTAAAATATGCAGGAACACATTTGTACAGAATAAACAATTCTTGTTCTTCTAATTCACTAATGTTTGAGTTTCACTATACATATGATTACACACATGCTTTTCCATTCTCCCTCAATTTGCTTTCAAGTAAGAATTAAGAACAAAGGAAATAAACATGTTTTGAGGAACTAAGGCTCCTATTTTTCTCGCTTGTATGACATACACATAAAATTTGTACATTTCTAAAGAACTAAGCTGTATAGTAAAAGTCTCCAAGTAGAACATCACTTTTAAAAGGTCAATGCATTGAAAGTAAAATGAAAAAAAAAAGCAAAATTTAATAAGGGAAGGAAAAAAACATCAAACACAAAAGGTTAATAATCTATCCTTTAAACAAAAAAGGCAATCTACTTTTTCTCATTAAAAGCTGACACACAGCACTAACTGAGGAGATTATGTTGTGAAAACATACTGCATCGCACGGTAATGCTTGATCGAGATCAGCAATCAGGAGCAAAAAGAAAGCACTGTTTCATGATTATAATAGCAAATTCTGGAAGACAACCAAATACATCATCTGGCAGCTCAACAGCTGTTACAGCTTGGTAGTAATACCTTGGCATTTGCTATAAGCTATAACTTGAAAAAACTGATTTCTCATCTGCCAGATACAAGAAAATGTCCTCCTTTTAACATTTCTGAAGTTTCTTTCACTAGAATACCGAGCTCTCTAATCTTTTTTAATAATTATTTTACACTTTTTTTATCCTTGCTGCTAAGTTAATTGGGCATCACTTTGATTTTTTTTTTTTTTAAAGTTGGATGGAAAAATATCAAATGCAACCTAGATAAAACAATGTACGTTCAGCAAAATTCAATTTTGATGATACAGGATAGCAGATAGCATAGATTATTCCTAATTGTCCTCCTTGTTAACATTCACAGTCATGATCAATTGGCCATTTTTATACCTCATAACTTCCTGAAAAAGAGACATTTCCAAAATAAAGCTCAGTATCTCTCCAGGTGTTTTGTTCTTACTTAAGCCTACTGTTTGCAAGTCAGAGGCAGTACACATGGATGTAGACTAAAATAATGATGCTGTGAATTTACAACACTTATCAAACCCTGTCTTGAAATTACTCCTGGGTATAGGGAAGGAAGAGGAAGAAAGAAGACGTTTACTGTCAATTTTGTAACAACATGAACTAGTCAAAGCATTTGTTTTGTGTGTACAGTGGCATCCCGAAAAGATCAATTTTCTAAGCACACAATATTTTGGCATTAAAATAAATATGTATCATAACAAGAACTTGGACTATCTTTTAGTGTTTCCACTATTCTAGTTATTTCAGGGTTAAGTAAAAGCAATCCATCATAAATATTTTAGATTCTGGCATTCCACTTAGATTTTGAAGTGTCATAAACAATATCTCTCAGAAATCAATATTCATGCAGCACATCTATGGGGAAAAGAAACAACAAATACACAAAGGTGGAATAAGCTATCAAAGAGAATTCTACCTTTACGCCTAGTGCAGTTTTCTTGGCCTCTGCTTTTAATCTTGTTGCTCTTAACATAGGTCTGGTTTTCTTATAATCTTGCTTTCCTAGAGCAGAAAAACACATTTATTGAAAATGATGCCAAAAAAGATAAAGAATGTCAGCAATTATCTCAGTTTGAAAGTCAGCTCTCACATTTGAAAACATCTCACAGTTCAGCACTTTAAACAGAAGCCGTTTTATAGGACAGGGGCCCAATCAGAAGAACAATGTTCCTAAATTCAGATGAGAGCAACAAGCAAGAGCTGATAAATCAGTATAGAACCTATTACTTCAGAAAGACATCCAAATACACATACTGACAGCCATCCACTAGTACAATGCTTATTAAACTGTTCAGTAAGCATCAGACTGCAAGTAAGTAGATTAAAGGAGGATGACGTTTTACCCCTCGCTTTTCAATCAAAGCAAAATTTTCATTATAATTTTTGTTGGTTAGCCACCTCTAATGCATTTATAAATGTGTAATACATGACATTATGGAGAGCGTAAATGTTTCATCATTCTGAACTGGAACATTATTTGTGAGCAGCAGAACTCAGAGACATGCAGGTCAATCCAAGTAAGCATTAATAAAACCATTGTTTCACACCATCTGTTTACAGAAACATGTTACACGGAAACTTCTAGAAGTGTCTTAGATGTGCTTTTAAAAAATTATGAGAACCACCTCTTACAGCCACTACATCATGCAGCCAAGTGCTTCAGGACTGAGTCCATATGAAGTGAGTTCAGAAGAGGACATGAGAGTACTTAGAAATGGTATAAATCATTTATCTCAATTTAATAATAAAGCATAAAATACTCGATACCTCTCAGGGATATTTTTGCTATTTAAAGGACATGCTACCGCTGTATTGCACACTTTTAACCATAGCCTCTCCAAGCTGCCAGAAGTCAAGGTATTGATACAGTCAGAAAAGGAGGGAAAAAAAAAAGGAAATCTGTAAAGAAACAGCTCAGAGGGGTAGCACAACTCTTTCTTTTCTCCCCAGTGCATGCCTGAATTTTGTACTTTTTGTCTATTTTCTAACCTAATCTACATTGCTTAAAGAAGAAATTCTATATTATTGTTTTTTCACCAGTAGTTTTACATCTAGGTTTCACCATTATCACATTCAAATCATTTAATCTTTTGTCTAGAACTGTGCCCAGCATTTCTGTGCATGTAACACTCCCATTTAATCAGTCAGATGGGGGTCTTGCATTTATAAACAGTAGAGCAATCTCCAGACTGAGATATTACAGTGCACTGGTGGAATTCTGCAACATCAGTTGGAAAAGAAAGATCTTCTCCAATGATACCCTGGATTCACACTTGTATCTTTGTACACACTTTCTGTTTCATTTCTCCACTCTTATTCAATGCAGAGCTCCTCTCTGTGTAGCATATGCTGTTTGCTCTCATGGTCTAATCTCTCCTCAACCCTAGGGATTATACATTGCAAAGGTCTCCGTATTATCCGCTGGTCAGATATTATTCATTGAAGACCTGAAATAACTTAGAAAATACTCACTGACAAAAGGAAAAATAACTGAAATCATTTGAAAAAAGCATACATCCAAAGAGCCTTCTTAGAAAATGGAGTGAAGATGACAAAATGACTATTTATGTCTGATGTTCCAATATATTCATCCAGTCAACAGATCTCGTTTACAGGAGGGGATGACTGCAGCATTATTCTTCAGAAGTGAATGATATCTGATAATAAGATGCATCAGAGAGTTCAGTGCTGTAATAGTCCAAACAGTTATAGAGAGATTTGCAGTAAGAACCAAAACAGCAAAGTCATGACATGAAGCCAGACTGAAAGAGAATGTGTTCCCCTCCTCCCCAAAGTACTGCAGACATACTTTTGCAATGAAATAGTTAAAGAGCTGTCAGAATTTCCATTATAAATGGCAGGAGTTTATAACTCATAAAAATTCACTCCAGGGTGAAATTTGGCATTAGATATACCCCAGCCTTGTGTTTTTTTTGGTTT